TGCCTTGATAGCTTTTGTCTTGCACCATTACTGGGTTGGGCATGCCCCTTGCCTTCACACAGATGGTGGATGCAGAATTAATCACTAAAACAGTGGTGGTCTTGTCCTTTTCTTTACTCCACCTGCATTAATACATTGAACGCAACTGCATTCAAGGTTGAATGGGCGGAGGGGAAGAAATACGTGTTATTTCTCAAGGGCATAAATCAATATAACTGGGAGAAACTTAGGAGCATCACCTTCTGTCTGGTTTGTTAAGGATGATACCGTTTGAACCGCCACGAGTCTGTGGGGCACTTTCTTGATCTGTTTGTTGGGCCTGAGTGTTCTCAGTTCTGTTTCTGAGAAGGATGAGGGTATTCTGAGGAGGATCTAGTGTTTGGCTGTTGCAAGGTCATTCTCTGTTCTGTTTTTCTGTTGTCCTGGCAGGCAGGAGCTGTTTCACCCTTTGGGATGCTTGGCATGGTAAGTTCTCTGTTTGTCTGGGTCAAATTAGAGGCTTTCCAAGTAGTGGCTCCATACAGATATTCATCAGCGCTCTGTGCAGTCAGTGCTAAAATGTAGCCATCTGTGAGCAAGACCATCTATCCTAATGGGTAGTGAGGGTGGGAAGGTGTGAAGAGACGAGAATGAGCACTAGATTTATAGTAAACGGAATACGGAAGAGGGCATTGAACTGGAACTGGAGGCAGCTGGTTTCTCTTGGACCTCTCTCATTGCTATATGACTTCAGGCCTTTCCCTTGTTTCCCCTCTAATGTTCTAATCTAGTCTGTGGGCTGTTTAGAGGAGAGAGGGGGGGAGGTTGTATTTGCAGCTTGACCAGAGAAGAGCTCTAAAGCTGTTACAGCACAATATTTCATAGGAATTGGGACAGTTAATACCCGGGAAGAGCAGATAGTCTCTTAATAACCTCATATGTCTGAAAAGAAGCTGTGGATCTGTTTGGAGGTAATGGAGGAATGGTGACGATGTGAGGAAAAGACTTGGACATCAGTAGGCAGAGGTTATTATTCAACCTCCTTTGCCAGTGGTGGTGAATGGAGAAGCCAACAGAATACTTCAAGTGAACAGGACTGGAATGAGAATGGCTGTGTGTATGTGAGAAACACTGTGCTTAGAGCATGCTGATCTCCGTCATCTACTAAAATAATGCAGTGGAAATAGGTTATTCCAGATCCAGCAACTTTAGCTGCCTTGCTCTGCAGGATTGCCTCAGTGAAAGAGACTAAGTGTCCTGGAATTGTTGTAGCTCAGGGAAGGATTAAGAATACAAACAGATAGACTTCAAAGGATAATAATGCTGCGGGAGTACTGCTGTGCTGGAGATGAGAACAAGAGGCTACTCAAGGAAACAAAAAAATCAGCAAGTTTAAACTGACATAGTAATTTTGTTTACATATTGCACAATTAACCTGTGGGACTTGCTGGCCCAGTATATTACTGCAGCCTTAGGTTTACAAGATTAAAAAGTCAGGTGTTTGTAGGGAAAATAAGAAAACTTGTTATTATGTTAGAAAGAATACAATCAATGGAAACTTCCTTGTGGTTTAAATTAAGACTTGACAGTGATGAGGTGAAAACATCATCGAGGACTACTGTCTTATGGTTAAGATCACTGTTGGTGCACATCCTGAGATTTTTTTCTCTGAGCTTTGCTGAGTGCCCGGACTTGCAAACCCCAGTGCATCGGGAGTCAGGCCCAAACTAAAAGAACAACCTTTGCTGTATCCAGAGATATGGAGAGCCAGAACACGGTGGCAATGCAGCCTGAGAGAACGGCAACCCCAAATTCTGTTTTTTTCCTGCACTACTGAACGAAAGGGAAAAGAACAAGGCTTTTCTTCTTAGGCAGCGGGTTTTTTTGTCCCTTGCAGATAGTTTGTTGTTCTTTCCTCCTGTATCTTTCCAAACTGACTATTCTTGTGTTCTCTTTTGCTTTTTATCAGGCAGGTGGCTTTATAGATATGTTTGGGATGATGAACGACATGATTGGAAACATGGTAAGAACCCTCCATAAACCAGTCTGTATTGAGGGGAGTACTGAGGGTGCTTCTGCCGTCCCCTCTATCGTCTCCCACCTTATTGTGCTCTTTTGGTATGGGCTGTGCTCAGGCTGCCGAGGCGGCTGAGGCTGTGAGCCTTGCTTCATGACCGGGATTCGGTGATAGAGAGCTTGTTCCTGAGGCGTACCCTCTGAGGGCAGGGAGGAGAGATGGGTGAGGAAGGAAGTGTGGGGGTAGACTTGTTTAGCAAGAAACAAGAATTAATTTAACAGGAAGATGTATTCTCCAGAAAGATGGACCCATGGGGATTATATTCTTCCTATTGTAATTTCTTCCTACTTTGTTGTATAGAGAGAGAATTAACTGCCATCTCTCCTTCCCTCCCATTCCTTCTTTATACCATTCCCCTTTTCTTCTTGCAGGAGCATATGACAAGTGGTGCTAACTGCCAGACGTTTACCTCCTCAACTGTCATCTCGTATTCCAACCTGGGTGACGGGCCCAAAGTCTATCAGGAGACCTCGGAGATGCGTTCAGCACCTGGCGGGGTAAGGAGGAGACTGCAGTGCGTCTTCCCAGCACGAGGCTGCTGGTTTTGCTGTGGGTGGATAGACTTCGTTCGGTGGCTCAGTGCTGGCCACCCACAGCACTTCTGCTTTGCAGTCAGTTGCGGTTCGCGGAGCGCGTTGTGACTCACTGAACCATGCTGAGGGCCACTGGGAGGGGATGGGAAGTGCTGGCAGGGGGAAATCCATTTTTCCCTCTTCATTATGTTGCGTCTGACATCCTGGGAGTGGTGGCAGTGCAACATGACTGAAATACTGCAGGCAAGAATCGGAGTGCCTTATGGGGCTGGGAGAAGGAATTAAAACATTGATCCTACATGGGAATCTGCCCTCAGATCCGTGAGACTAGACGGACCGTAAGGGACTCGGACAGTGGCTTGGAACAAATGTCGATTGGACACCACATCAGGGAGCGGGCCCACATCATGCAGCGGTCCCGGAACCATCGCACGGGGGACCAGGAGGAGAGGCAGGACTACATCAACATGGATGAGAGTGAGTACTGCCCGTGTCCTCCTCCCAGCAAACCCCGGTGCCGCTTCCCCACCTCCTCCCCCTCTGAGCTTGTTCTTTCCTTACACAGGCGATGCAGCTGCATTCGATGACGAGTGGAGGCGAGAGACGTCCCGTTTCCGACCGCAGCGGGGCCTGGATTACCGACGTCATGAAGGCAGCAGCGGCCGGCGGGCTGAAGGGACTCGTCTTGCGATCCAGGGTCCTGAGGATTCTCCCTCCAGACAGTCCCGTCGGTATGACTGGTGAACCCAGAGCAGACCTTGTGGGGGGTGCAGCGTGGCCACCCCCAAATCTACCTACACGCTCTTGTAAGTCTTAACAGGTTTTTTTCCTCATCTTCCACTGCGCGGTTGCCTCTTAGCCGTATGATTTTTTTTTTCATTGCCCCAGTCTTGTATTATTTTGAAGTGTCGGTTGGAAATGGGTTTTCCCACTTAATCTAGAGAGCAGGGGAGGATGTGAATTTTGAGAAAATACTGTTCTGAAGGGGAAGGTGGAAGCTGTTTAAGTTAGTTTTGTCATCAACAAAGAAGTGTGGTGTCAGCCTTAACTGCTGGTTGAGATGGTATGAAATGATGTGGGATTGCAATCTGTAGAGTGTTTATACTGTCACTGTATAGAACTTAGAGACCATTTGCTGTCAATCCTGGTGCCTGCTCTCCTGTGTTTTGAATAGGGTTCACTAGGATGCGATCTAGTGCTTGAAAAGGGACTTTTTTCCTTTTTTTTGATGTCTAGACATCAGGTTTAAACATGCCTCTATCTGTCTTCTGTGCTGCTTTCTAGTCACTGCTTACTCTTTTTATGTATGTTCTCTGTTTCCCTTCTGCCCAGGTACAGACGGTGAAACTCTGAAGCCCCTTCAAAGCACCACTTGGACCCTCCTCAAATTTAGTATTAACCTCCCTCCCACTTAAGAATTGAAACAAAGCAACTAATCTTCTGCATTGCTCTTTTTTGCCCCATTTGGGTGCTGCAGTGGGGCGTGGGGAATCTCACTGACGTGCAAGGAACGCGTTAATTGCCCATTCCCTTTCTGCTCTCCCTTGGTTCTGTTCTTTCTGCCAGTAGTGGTGGGCGTGAGGAGCTGCCACCTTGCCTCTTCCATCCTTTCCACTCTTTCTGTGCTGGGTTGGGCTGGTTCTGAAGTTTGTGTTTAGTCCCCTGGGAAAGAAAGATGAGGGAATTCTGCTAGAACCCTGTGTCGGTCCCCTCACCGGGACAGAGGCTTCGATTCCCTTCCTGCTCCTTGGTGCAGCTATGGAGAAGCAGAAGGATGTGTGCGTTAGAGAAGGGAGGAGCAGAACAAAAGCTGGATCAGCCTGTGGGCCCCCCTGACCCCTCTTCAATCAGCTCCCCCACTTTTTTAATTTGTGAAACTTGTAACTAGATGTTTACTGAATAAAGAAACAAACTGTAAAGGATTGTTGGATCAGTCTTTACCTTCAGCTGACCTAATTGTGCCTGCTGTGGAATTAAGTAACCTCTTTCATACCCTTGGGAAAGTGCTCAGGAGAAACTTGGTGTTTAATTCTAAGGCTTTGTTTTCTTACAGGAAATAGCCTTATAGCCTTCCCACATAGTTACAAAGTGAGATAATGCTTAACATGGCAATTGTGAAAGAAGACCCAAGAACCCACCGTTTGCAAAAATACCCTTTAATTGCTGTAGTTTTACTGTGCACTCAAGGGAGATTGGTTGGTCTTTCTTGCTGCCTGGTCATCTGTGCAGCCCTGAATTGGGCCTCTGGGGTTCCTGCACAGCCAGGGAACGTTTCCACTATTTTCTTATTTCTCTGCAACTGAGGCCAATGTTGTTGCGAATGACCTTAACTTCTTCAGTATTAGGTGAAACTTGAGAGGCATTAGGAGTACAGGACAGGGAAAATCTGGGTTCTTGGGCTGGTTCCCTGACGTAAACCTTTTCATCAACTCGTTCAGAACAGAAGGCAGGAAATTGAAGCATGACTTACACGGGGAAGTGGTGTGCCAGGATCTTGCCGTTTTGTACGTATGGGCCCTAACAGAGGGACAGACACCTCGCTGAGGACTATCTTGCCCTGAAAAAAAGGATGCAGAATCCAGCCCTGGAAAGCTTAGGGCAGAGTTTGCATGTGTTCCACCCTTCAAGGAAGCGCAGGGCAGAGCCTTAGCTGATGGCAGGCTCTGTCACCACTTCCCTGTGCTGTTTTGTCACATAGCAAACCCCAGCAGAGGTCCTGGTCTTCAGGTGATGGCTCCTAAGTTGGAGAGGTCTCCCCAGCATCTGGGAGAGTGAAGGGAGGGACCTCAGTTGAGACAGTGAAGTTAGAGGGGGATAAGCCAGCTGCCCCTGGGAGTGGACTGAGTTTCTGGAGATGTCCTGGTCAGGGCAGGCCCTGAAGAGAGCAAGGCTGAAGGAGGAGCTACACAGAAAAAAGCAGGGCTTGGGAGAGGTTTAGTGGAAGACGAGTCCTCTTGGGGTTGCCAGACTTTGAAAGAAGGAACTGGAGCAATGGCAGCCCTCATCTCAGTGGTGGTCTTGAGCTGGTCTGAGAGGTGGGACGTGGTGTTTTGATCCAGCGAAGAACCAGCTGAGCTCAAAAAGGTGCTTACAGCATCGAGAGGGTGGTGGTAACCAGCTGCGAAGTCCTGGCTGTGCTTTAAGGCGATGTCTGAGAAAGAAAACAGTGAGATGGGGGCATGGTGGTGGTGGGGATTAACTTTGACCTTTAAGATGTGAGGATCCATTCCTTTTTGGGCATGGAATTCCTCATCTTGATCTAATCCCTAATCCTTTTATCTGGATTCAGCCTCTGCACCATGTTGGGTGCCATCCTGCTTACAGATCTGGGAGCGTTGGGTGCTCTTGCACCCCCTGCGCCAGAGTGCAATCTACCCAGCTGCTGTTTCCAAGATCTCGGCCTTCTCCAGGCGTGACAAGGCTCTGGTGGTCTAGGGAAATGGAAAAGAGGTTCAGTTAGAGGAGGACCTTGTGTTAAGGCTGGGAAGCAGAGACAGGAGCCCAAGAGAGAATTCTAGAGATTCCAAACCAAAAAACAAGTATGGGAAGTGTATTGGGAGGGTCTCCCCTTTGCTAGTCCCGAGGCTGAGATGGTGTGTTAACCTCCGACTTCAGAGAGTAGGAGGGTTTTTTTCCCCAAAGAAGGGAACCTCCCTTGGCTCCTCCAGGCCTGGGAGGCTGATCTTCACCTGCTGCTCAGGGTTCTGCTGAAGGAGCCTTCTCAGCTGCTCCAGGCTCCGGGCACGACGGTGCTTTTTGGTCAGTGGCTTGAGGGACTTTAAAGAAGAGGAGAGAATGTGAAGGCAAGGAGAGGGAGGGCAGATCTGTACCCCAGCGGGAGTAAGATGGACTGCCACCGGTGCCTTTTGCTGAGCAATTGCGAGTTGTGCTGGGCAGGGTGGGGGGGGCTCTCCCTTTCACCGATAGCCTGGTTTGACGAAAATTAACTTACTGATTGCTGACGGAGGTTATTAATCCAATGGCAGAGCATGCAGAGAATTGCACGGAGGCCACAAAAAGGTATGTGCGCACAACCAGTGCTTTAGTCCTCTTCCTCTGTCTTTAGACAAGCTGTGAGAAGCTCGAAGTTGTAAGCAGGTGTCCGAGTCTGTGCGTGCAGCACTGCTCTGAGCTGCCTGAAAACGAGAACACCGGCGCAATCAGAAAGCCCACCTCTGTTACACCACCCTGACTTCGGCATTTAGACCACACCTACGTCTGGTTAATTTTTTTCCCATTACAGTTCCAAGTGAAATGGTTTCCTGTTAAAAGTAGACCACCTGCTGTATGGGGGCAAGGGGAAGGCCTGGGATGAGTCTCTTACGTTTGTGAGATGTCTGTGACAGCTCTTCCAGCAGGATGGAGAAAGAGAAGGTTGGATGTTCCCAACATGAAAGTCAAACGGCGTTCGTTTAAGATGCGCAGGGCGTGGTTCCAAGTCGTCCTTATCCATCTGATGGAGACAAAATCCGTTCTCACTCCTTCTCCCACAGCTGTCACCTTCAGATGGGACTAGTTGAAGCACCAAAGCAATGCAGTTCAGTGGTACTTCGGCATCTTGCTAAGGCGTAAGTAGAGCATCTGGAGTGAGACGGAGGGAGCTGCCGTGCTTAAAAGGGGGGGGTGAGGAAGGGGAGGTGGGCAGGATGAGGTGGAGAGAGGCTGGAAACACTGGTGGAAAGACAGATGATAGAACCTCAGATGAGAGCGCATTAGCTACACATGAATAGAAACGTAAGGGGGATTGTTTGCTGTATATTCAGTTTTCCATATTCAAAAATTTATCATGAAAGTAAGAGCCATTAGAGCTAGTGGGAACTTTGTCCTTAATTAGTTTTGTCAGAAGCTCTGTGCACCTTTCACTGTCCTTTTTAAAGCTTTGGAGAGCAAACACTGGGGAAGTACGATGAGCCTGGGAAAGTTAACCTTGCGCCCATATTTGTAAACAGTAAATGAGATGCTATCTGCAGCTGTAAACCAGGTAAACTGACATAAAGTCAAGCTAAGAGATGGAAAATACATTAAATTTAAAAATAAAAGGATGTATCAGTTTTCATAATGTTCTCAATCTCACTTTCTTGAAATTGTTCCGGTCCAACAGGAACATTTAATGTAGTATTTTCTGATTAAATCATGAGTTGGGTTAACAAAGGCATGACAGCAACCTAAAGTTAAAGGTTACACCAGCACAAGGTATCTTACTTAGCCACACAAGACCATGCTCTGATTTGAGATTAATTATTAAAACAACAAAAGGGCCGGTTTTACACATTTTAGTTCACTGATAGATTTCAAGTAATGAGGGGAAAAAGAGACCCCAGAATACGAAATTATTTCGAGTAGGATGCTGTTCTGAAACAAATGCTCATTAGTAACTTGATTAATGATCTGAAAGAAGATATTAAACCAGTGCTGATGAAGCTTTCAGAGGACCCAAGGAACGATGAAAGTGATAAATGATGGAAAAAGATGAGATGCGCAGAGCAGTCCGTAACTATTGGTGTGGTGGTTATTTATAAACAATAAGTATTTCTGGCTGCACTGAAGGCAGAAAGACATTGATCTGGGAACATAAAGGTGGTCTGTGCTCTTTCAAGATGGAGGACTGTTTTCTGGAAACGCCGGGGGACTCCGAAAAGAATTAGGGGATCGGGAGACAACCAAGTACATGAATGGCACTTGTGTAATTCTTCATCTGTGGAGATGGGTTACACTGGGATGCATTAGCCTGCATTCACCAAGAAGGGAGGTAAAGTTTGTCCCCTGTATCAGAATAGTGAACCCATTGTGTGAAATCTGAGTATACGACACTAAAAAGGACACCAAAGATTAGGAGGACTCTCGAAGGGAGAAACAAGGATGACTTGAAGCCTGGAGCCGCTGACTGGCACTACAAGATATCACGAGCTCAAGACTCCTGTGTCTGAGCTCATCCTGCTCCAGCACGGGCTGGCGTTACCTCTATGGGACTGAGGCTTTTGACAGTAGAGGGCTCTTCAACCTAGCAGAAAACCTGCAGCTACCTGATGATGGAACTGGAAATGAGATGCAGACCTTTCTTTACAGGAGAGTGTGATCATTAGAGCATACCTGGGGTTTCCAGCTCTCGCTACTCCAAAGCTAGATGGGGTGTCTCAAAAGAGAAGTTGGAAAGCGGGCACGGGAACGGGGTGAGGTAGCTCTTGGCCACTTGAGAAGCCAGAAGATGTGATTATACCTGTCCCTTCAGGATTAAAAATCTATCAATCAGAAAGGAAAGCAGGCTGGCACACTGCTAGACTGCAGGGGAGGGTGGGAAGGGGGAGAGACCTGGTGACTTGATGGGGATGTCAAAGCACATGGGACCACAGAGCGAGCTGCAGGAAACAGAGCGGTCCGTGGGGACAAAGGTTTGTTTGGGAAACAAATGTGCACTTCTGTGGGGCAGGAGTGTAAAATTCCACAGGCAAATGCCACTCCTGTGGCACCAACTCCAGTGTAGGAGGACAACAGGAATTAAAATAGACCTCAATACCGGGCCGAGGTTAAAAATCACTTGTTTGATTTTGCAACATCTTTCTACTTTCCAAAACACTCTAAAAAAAAAAAGGACTTTTTCAGCCCTGTCTTAAATGTAACTATTTTTTTCCTCCTGGGAATTTTCTTTTTTTAAAGACAACACTTCAAAAAGTATCCCCATGGGGAAACTCCACTTAGGTTATTATTACTTCCCCTATCTCCTCACATCTGGCTGTTTTGGCTGCCTGGGTTTATAAATCATGAGAGCACTTAATACAAACTTGGGCGGGCGGGGAGGAGATACAAAGGAAGGGGAATAGAATAGACACTGCCTATCTCCAACTGTTGATGCCATAACAATCAGAGGTAAGCTGGAAGTAGAGATACTAGCCTCACAATATCCATCCCTCACTAATAAGAGAAAAGGAGATCAAAGGTTGCAAAAAATAAATGTATGAGTAAATAAATAAAACCCAGACATGTTGGATGAGAGTATTGCGCAGGAGGATGTAGGTGGCCTTGAAGGTGTCAGTAACAGCAAAGGGACTAAAGTTAGAAGCACAAAGGGACTAAAGTTAGAAGCACAAAGGCCCTAAAATCAAGACTTTCTTAGCTGTAAACTGGACCCTCTTTGATTATAAGCAGCAGAAAAGAAGACAGACTCAAGATCACCAGTGAATCGTACAATAACTGTAAGCACCTACTGAGGCATCGAGATGACACATGCTGTCAGGAGGCGTTTCTAGTAGCCATAGGTATGCGGTACTGCTACTGTGCAAGATGCTGATCGGAATTCACCTGTGGGAAGAGAACTGGGCTCATTTCTAGCCAAGAAAGCTTTATCTGGAGTGCAAGTAAGAGCAAGCTTCCAGGATAGCCTACAAGCTACAGAGAGCTCACAACGTATGAGGGGGCTGGTTTGATTAGTTAAGCAAAGTGAAGTCTACACTCAAGGGAAATAAACACCAGGGAGGAAGAACACCTTCAGCTAAAGCCACGCTGGCACAGGCACAAGAGAATATAAACTAGCTGTGAATCCATTTAAGCTGGAAATTAGAAAAAACTTTCTAACCACTACAGCAGTCAGGTTCTGGGGCAGCCTGCCAAGGGGACTAGTGAGGACAATAAAATTAACCAGTTTTTGGTTGGTACTTGAGAAGCTTTCGCAAGGGATTATGAGACAGTACCGGTAAGAGATCACACTCGGTCACCAGAAGCCTCCTTCTCACTTCTGCTCCCACCAAACAGATCATCCATCTTCCCACATCCCAAAGCCGGTGCTAAATGCTTCAGCAGCAGATGCAGGGAAACCTGCAGGAGACAGGGCAAAGCCTCTCCAGAAACATTTTCTCTTGATCGGAAGGGGCTGGGGCTTCACTTGTGCCTCAGAGCAGGAGGGTGTAGAATTGCTTTTAACTCACGCACAAGTGCTGCAGTAATTTTGGACGTTCTCATTACCCATATAAGGGTCACGGCTCTTGAATCCAGCTGACATTTTGGTACCTATTGAATTCATCGCAACATGAATATAATTGCACATTGCACAAAGAATTTTTGCAAATGAACTCCTTTCACCAGGAGTGGCAGAGCCTGCCACCAGCAGAGAAGGCAGACAAAAATCCAGCCCAGTTCTGCACTGCACCGGCAGGGATGCTCCCGGAAAACTGGAGCAGCCCTGAAAAGAAACACCCAAGAGGTGGGTGGCTGAGGAACTGGTAGAGAAAGCAGGTGGTTTTTTCCGAGTATTGCAGCTAAGCAGTGACTAGTACTAGGGAATGGGATGAGGAAAGAAGAGCCCTGCAGGTGGGAACACAGACAGACGCCCATGGAGAGGATGGCAGAGAGGGAAAGGGGTCACAGAAGGAAAATGAGCAGCTATTCTAGGGCATATAAAGGAGACAAGAAGGATGTCAGAGATCTGAGAGATGTGCTTGCAGCGGCTGACGTGGACTGTGGGATTCTTCCAACTACTCTACCTTGCTCTGCAGAGCCAGGGCCTCATCCCAGGGCAGGGGGGGGGGCGCTGGTCCAGCCGTGGCAAGAGGCAGGCACAACCCTCCATGGCTGCTGTCGGCAGGGAGCCTGCGTGAGAAGGTACGGCCCCGCGGGAAGCAGAACGGGACACCCATCCGTCTGGGTCAGTTCACCCAACAGACCAGACTGTCAGGCACCCACCTTCCACAAAAAAAGCCTTCGGAGGGAAGGTGAGCGAATGCCCCATCGGAGCAGAGGTGAGGCATCCCCACGTGAAGCTCGGGGGAGCACACAGCCCCACACAGATACTCTCATACGCACCAGCCCTCCTGTTTGTCAAGAAAAACCCCAAACAAACAAAACCCAAGCCCTTGAATACCTCATTTCGGGGGACAGAGGCAAGGGTGGCCTCAGCAACCCCCATAAACAAAACGTTGGCTCCCTTTGAGGGGAGCCCTGCTGAGGGCCCTTAAGCACAAAGACCACCTCTACCTTCACAGGTCCTCCAGCACAAACCACTGGAGGATGGGGAGAACCTCGGCCAAGTCCTGCAGGGCGCTTGCCCGGCTGTTAACGCTTCTCCCCACTCACCAGGTACCGACAGGCACCACCACAGACACTGGGCTGCTGGCACCATGCTGTCTGACACCCCCACCACCTTCAAGAAGGGGAGCAGCAAGCTCCCCACAAGAAATCGTGCTCCTAGTAATGCAATAAGGAGAATTACCATCATTAACCCCCATTCCCAATAAGAATCCATGGTTATGTCTCAGCACAGGGTGGCTGGCAAAAGTCACAGCGACAGAGCCATTCAGGTCCTGTCCTACCTCCTCCCTTTCCTGAATCCAGATGTCCAAGCCCCACGTGCGAGACCCAAAGAGGGATTGCAATGAATCACTGTGCAAGAGTCCTTACACTTCCCGTGCTAGGGCTGGCAGATCTGCTCCTCAAGCCGGGACGAACACTTCTCCATACCCTCTCTTCTATAATCCCCTAAACCTCATTCCTTTGCCAGGGCTTAGGGTGTCATGTGTCCAGGTATTTCTGTTCTGCTCTACTCAGGGTCTGTTTTCTCAGTCTTTTCTTTGGGAAAAAACAGGGTTAAAACACAAAGACATTTAAAATTAAAATGAAAACTTATAATAATGCTCAGTACTTATCTCACGCTTGCCATCTTCAAAGTGATTTACAAATGTTAACTAATTAATTAATCTTCACATCCTCTCTGACTGAAATTCAGAGTCACGGCTGAAGTGAGCAGGAAAATAAAAAGCATGGTTTTCAGGTGAAGGGCAAAGGGAAACCTATGCTCCTGCCCGCTGTTTGCCATCCGGCAAGGCAATTTGCAGCAGTATTTTCATTCTGCACTGCACACCTCATTTATTTTTCAGTCATACCAAAGGTCTGAAGTAATTTTGTCTGCTACCTTCTGCTTCTTTTTTCTTAATGGAGGTCTTAAAAGGTGTTCCCTTTGAAAAGTAAACAAAACAGAACACTTTCAGAGCTGTGCAGGTGCCCCTTGATCAAATACACTTAATCCCAAACTCTTCTGTAATCCGCAACACAACTGGCCTCAAGAGGAACAAATAAAGAGAATGGGAAAGGGGAAGCAAGGCCTACGGCTCCGCTTGGCAAATGCCGCTACCAGAGAATTGAGCTGAGCCTCAGAGAGGAGGGCAAGCCCGATGCCACAAAAAGTTATGGCAGGACACAGGCAGACTCGCACCGGCTGTGATTTAGCCGTGAGGATCCAAGCCCGGGGCTTCAGCACAGCCTAGGGCTGGTGTGGTGAGCCCCTGCAGGACCCTGTGTTGGTCCACACTCTGGTTGCTGTCACCCATGCACGGGGTTTTTTTGCCCACAAGACCGATGCCAGCGTGTGTACGGAGGTCAGGCGCTGCTCTGCCTTGCCGTGCGCTGCACAGGGCGCTCACGCAAGTGCATCACCTTCGACCCGTATGGAGCTCCCAGTGCCAGCTCAGGGATGCTTCCAACTCCACTCCCGGGATCTGCAGCCTGAAACCTGTGGATTCAGGGCGTTTAAAAAGACCCTTTGTGCCCAATAGCCACAACATGGTTAAAGAGAGTAAAACCCAACAGGTCGGAGGAGCCAAGACACTTGGGACAAAGAGCTGTTGCAGCTGCTCTTCCTAAGCGACAGTGGGACTCTTGCAGGGCACAAATACCCTCCTCCATTATTGGTAACTTCAGCTCTCCCTGGAGGGGACACAGGTCCAGCCCAGCTCCCGCCAGACCTCGGCCGGCTGTTAGGACACACGCTTCATCCGGCTGCTCAGCTCCATCCTGAGCCCGTTCTTGCTCCTTTGCCTCACACCTCAACAGCTTTGCAAGCGGTTCCTCTTTCCAAGGGCGTGAGGTGCCAGACATTTGGCAGGTGCTCAGGGCTTGCCAGGTATCACCTCCCCTGTTGGCATCTCGGTCCCAGACTAGCTCTTCCCAGGGAGCAGGGGAATCTTGATGCGCACAGACATCATTGCTTTGCGCAACCGCAAACACAGCGAGCACGGTGACTTTCCTCACCGAGAGAGACAGATGAAGGTGATGTGATGCAGCGGGAGGAAGGCTCAAGGTAATTTAAACAAAAGCTGGAAGCGTTGTCACAAACCCTCCCTGCAACTTACGGAAAACGGGACTCGTCAAGTAGACTTCCTATTGCTGCAAATTAGTCAGACCTCTCGGTGGGTTGAGATGAGCCTGGCTCAGCTGGCCCCTTATGCGCTCCTGCAGCCAGATTTGCATCTCTCCTCTGGGCAACTTCATGCCAAACCTCTCCTTTTCGGAACTTCTGTTGCCAGACGACTACAGCTAAGGGGCTTGATGCCTTGGGGCACAGGATAGGGCAAAGGTGTGGAGCTGCCCTAGCTCTTGGAAAGCTCAGCCAGTGACAGCAGTCACCCCAGGACAGCTCGGCACATCCCTGCCCTGTGACTTTACGCACAGGGAAGGAAGCTGCTTGAAAGTTTTATGAATCCGTGGATTCAGGTGACAGGGGTTTCCCACTGAAAGTTAGTGCTGCATTACAGCGGCCCAGAATTAGTAAGACAGCAATATTGCACAAGCCAGCATTTTGTGGTGTTCGAGTATTGAGATGACATCGCACCTGCCTACCACTAAAACAAGCACAGCCTCACACGCACCCCGCCAACAAAGCTTGCTCCCACCTGCACTGCCTCAGCTCCAGCTCTCACTTGTCTGACCCAGAACAAAATTCACCCAGGCCAGGGAGTTGAAAAAGCCTCCATGCAGACAAAGATCAGGACTTTCCCTTGCTGGATTAATTTTTCGGCAGTTTGCTTACGCCCAGAAACCCAGGTTCAGGGAATCAAATTTTAGCATTGGCACAAGGAAAGAGGCAGAACTAAGCTGGGGTGGGAGTCACAGTGTCAATCTACACTTACATCAGCGTATACCACCATGGAACAGCAGTGTGACACTTGCATCCATCTGACTTGGCTTCAAGCCAGCCTCAAGGATGCATCCTCTGAAGAATCAGAGGGTTTTTTCTGGGCATCTCACAGGAGTCAATTTCATTAAATTTTTTTTTTTTTTTTGACCAGACTCCAACGTCACCCGAGAATGGCTCAGGCAGCGTCTATACTATGAAAACTCACCCAGATGGGCATTGACTCTCTTACCTTTAACTGTCAGACAAGTCCCCACATCACTTTCCGTTTTGTCCAGGATCATGGGCACGTAGTATTGACACAAATGTGAACTTTTTCCTCAGTCTCTGCACCTTCCTCTGAGACTACCTGAAAAGCACCTCTTTTGAATGTTCCAGATGCAAATCAATCACACAAGAAACTCTTTAAGTAAGATTTATCATTCTTTCCTGCTTTATGGACTCTGGTCCCAATAGAGCTACCGTGGCACTACCCTCTGGAAAAGGAAGTGAGTATTTTGAGGTTATTCCACCCAGAAATGGGACAGAGGCTCTCAACATCACAACTTACTTTAGAGCATACAGAATCGGTATATGAGACAAAGAGACGCCACCACAGGAGCACAAGTTTGTATAGATATGTCCATAGATCTGTATTTTTATTGTTTATATATATTTATAATATATTTATATATTTTTAAAAGAATCCCTTCAAAAACTACCCTCCCACCTAGCAAAACAAAGATTAAACAATCAAAGATGGCAGCTGCATCCTGGAGCAAAGTATCCCAGGGGTCTCATAGAGCCAAAATGATTGCTGAGCACCAGCACACTTTTCCCAAGCTTCTGTGATGCCCTGTGGGTGCAAAGGTGACTGACAACAGTTTTATGGCTCTTTAAATTGACCTGTCAGTAGACAGGGAGAGAGAAAGACATGGCCGTGGCGATAGGGGCTTGAGTGGTAGGGGAAACGGCAACGCATACAGCTGGAAGCTTAGAGTGTGAAATGCTGTGATGAAAAGGAGGGAGACACTGCCTGGAAAGTCAGTCATGAAGATGGTAAAGAGAACAAACATGCAGGAGAATTAGGTGGCAAGATGGATCTTGGGGAAGAGCTCAGAAGCATCACACTTGGGACCCTTGCTACCCCTCCATCCCTCAAATCTCTTCCTCTCACCCTCCCAGTTGTGAAGGGAGATCCAACTAGTTTGATTTAGACCAAATCTTCGCACTGCCCCGGAGCCTGTGGAGAGAGGGGAAAAAAAAACAAAACAAAACAAACAATTCAGAGTGGGCACTCAGGCTCATCCCCCACTTCCTTTTCTAAACACACACAAAGAAGAGTGGCCGACATTCTTCACAAGAGGAGAACACAAGGAAGGCTTACGAACTCTGCTTCAGACCAAGAGCCGCAGATTTCCCCTCACATTCGCAGCAGAAATGCTCAGCTGGGACTACATCTCTGACCACCCCCTGTCCAGGGAGCAGACCCCTGCACTTAGTAACCTCATTGCTCCGAAACAGGGCTTCCCTCAGTTCACCTTCTGAACACACACACACACACACACACAGAGTAGCTCTTTTTGTTTGCCCCTACTCCTCACCCTTTGGCTTTGGAAGTTTTCTTGCTCGCCTGGCGCTGGTTGGTGCCAGGGGCCGGCTCCCTGAGCTCTGTTAGGTGCTGTTCCGGGTCTTGGGATGTGGCTGCTGCAGCGGCTGCTGTCGTCACTTTAATGGTCTTCTTCAGGTTTGCCACCTGCAACAGCAAAAAAGCAAGAACCAAGGGATTTCCCAACGTTTTTAGTTCGTTTTCGTTTTGTGGTGGTTTTTTGTGTTTGGTTTTTTTTTTTTAAAGCAAGCCCTGGAGTGAAGAGCTGCAAGCTCAGGTCAAACAAAAGAGCTAACAGCTGTCCAGCCCCCTGCGCCGCAGGGGAGCATTAAGCTGATTTAGGACTCTTCTTCAGGCACAGCACCCTGGGGGGGTCTGGCCTAGGGAAAAGGTAATGCCTCACTTGAGCACAGACTGTAACAACCACAGGGTACTGGTTCTAGTTATTTTAAAGCGAGGGGCACTGGCTGCTCCCTCCTCGGCCCACTCACCTCGCTCTCTATCTGCTGCTTAAGTGCCAGCTGCTGCTCTTTATGTTGGTTGGCTCGGCTAACCTGTTCTTCAATGCCTGACAAGACAACCTCGCAGCCCTGGCACCTGGAGACAAGACGCAGAACTGAACAGGCCAGGTAATTTACACAGCATAGAAAGAAATGTGAAAGATGACAGATTTCAACTCTAGCAGCCAAAAAGACCGGAAGGTGACAGCTACACCAGGCAGGGAAGACACAGGAGCAGGAGTCCAATGTAATAACGTAGTGACGTTATTACCTGGGAGGGGGGACATATTACAGAGCAACACTAGGTTAGGAACTACAGATACATACTCAGCAAGCCTCCTGCCAGCAGCCAGGACTGTGCAAACGTTGCTGTGGTCCCGTCACCCTTCCAGCAACAAACAGGGGAATTTGGAAAATTATTTTGGAAAACTACTTTCCGTTGGAGTTTGGGAAAGGGGATCGAGTAGGCCACCTCACAACGCTACCCCCCGGCGACACACAGAGGATCCGGGGAAGCCACCGGCCACTCCTGCAACCTTTTTTGGGTGTTAGTATTGGGGGCTTCCTCCTCACCACTCCTGCAATGTGCGGGTGATGGTGCTTAGCTCCTCCCTCCGGATGTCCCTCCCAATGCTGTAATCCACCTCCAGGCGCTGGTTCCGCTGATCCAAGCTCCCTCGCAGCACATCTGCATACACAGCCTCAATCACGAGGTCCTCCAGTTGCCGGACGTTCTTCAGCTGTAACTGCTCCAGCAGCACTGAGTAGGGGATGCACTGTGGAAACACAACGGTAACTAGCATGAGGTAATCCCAGCAGAAGGAGGACTTGGGGAAAAATAGGGCCACTACCTTGATCTTGGCAGCCAGAGTGACGACTGACAGGTGCCTCAGCTTGTTCTTCTGAGCCTCTGTCAAGGGAGGGAGGTTTGCTGCTTCAGCTGTCGTCAGGGGAAAGAACAGAGTATAAGGATTTATGCCTCATTTTCCATTTCCCATCCCCACGCAGCAGCATCTGCACCATGCCCGTTTCTTAAAGCGTCTGCACACCAATCCCCCAAGCGATGCTTCGTCTTGCCAAGCCATCCCCATCAATTCTCAGCTCAAAGGACCTTTTCTGAGCAGCCTTTCCTCCCCTCGGCCTCAAGTCATCCTCTCTAGCTGTCCCGCGCCTTATTTATGCGGGTCTGCAGGTCCCAGTGGATACCTAAGTCTTTCCCCTCGCCCCTCAAAAACGTCTCTGTCAAGATGTTCTTGGAAATGCCCCACGCAGCTGGCAAATGGCAGCATTAATTACTGCCAGGTACTCCAGCGGTCTCGGCCCCAAAGCGCAATCAGGCGTCTGTCGGGCCGTAGCGACGGAGGCACGGCTCTTGCTGCAAAAGGGGGCTGTGGGCAGTTTGGGTGAGGGTCTGCAACACCTCGGGGCTCCGGCACCGAGGGACCGCCGTCACGGGGAGGGAAAAGGGGTCCCCGAACCGCCTTCCGTCCCCGGGGCCCGGTCTCACCCAAGTAGTCCGCGTAGGTACCGTAGGCGAAGATGGTCAGGAGGCGAAAGACGGGGGAAAACTCGCCGTCGGCCAGCTGGGGGGGACACAGGGTCAGGCTCCATCACCCTCCGGCCCCGGGGCCGCGGGCAGGGCCCGGCGGGCCTACCGACCCCGGGGCGGGGTGGGAGAGGGGTGGGAGGCCGCGGGGGCCGGGGCCCGGTCCCGGGGCCGGTCTCACCTCCCGGACGGCGGGCATGTCCAGCAGCTCCCCGAAAACGTAGATGCCCGGGGCCTCCAGCACTTGGTGGATGAGGCTGGCGAGGGCGGCGCCGCGGGCCGCCTTGGCCAGCAGCAGGAACTGCTCCTGGCTCTGCCCCGTCACCTTCCCCTCGGCCGCCATGGGACCCCGCCGCGCACACCCACCCACCCACGGACCCCCACGGAGACCCCGGCCCCGCCGCCGGCCGGCTCAGCCGCCACCCCGCCCCGCCACCGCTTCTCTATGGCACCGCCGTCGCTAGAGCGGCGGCTTCCGGGTAGCGTTAACTCCCCGACTCCGCCGCGCCTTCCTACCGGATTGGGAGAGGAAGCGCTAACACCCGCCTCCGCCTCTTTCCCTATTGGTCGGTTAGAGAGAAGAGCGGCGGGGTAGGGTTTGCCGCCAGGGCGCCCCCAGCCGGTTGGGGTGTGCGTGGCCGGGCGGGAGCGGCCTGCCGGCGCTTTCCCCGCCGGCCGAGCGCCCGGACCGGCACCGGCACCG